CACCCACCACGGGTTAACCAGAGTGCACAGATCGTCATTGTCATTTTCAAACTCGGCAAACCTATCACCACCATTCCTCACACCAACTCTTCGCAAACCGCTCAAATGTCCCAAACAAACCGATGGCTTCTTGACTAAAGATCTCACTTCTTGATTAAAGGTGTCTAAATAGTATTTCGTGGGTGGGGTGGGAGTCATAAAACTCATTATGCAAGTACATTTTTTATAGGGGCAAAGATTGTTTGAATGAGGAGCCTTTTATGCCCAGCTTCGAGGCCATCAACGCCGAATGTCTGATATAGTCCGATTTTTTTTGCACTCCAGAGAAAAATTTTGAAAATGCAGTGTTACCGTCGGCCCTGCGACACGTATTCTCGAAAAAAAACAACCAAAAAATTTTCAGCCTGTTTCCCCGGTATTATACTAATAGAATTCATGTAGCGCGTTGCTTCATAACCAGTATAAATACCAGAAGATCGACAGTGGTAAGCAGTCAATTTAGCCACCAGCTCAGTTCTAGTTTTCTTATGTTTTCCAGAGCTTTCCTAAAATCCCTGAATGCTTCCTTGCTACGTCTCCTGAGACAGAGCACTTCTCTTTACTGCAAAGTTGCTATCTTCATGTCCTCCGCGTTTTAGTCAAGAGCTGTGCTAAAGCCACCCTACTTCATAACGCCAGCCTTCAGCCCATTCTTTTGGCTAAAAGTATCCAAGCAATGACGACTTTTCAGGAAGTAAAAATGGCAATCGTCGAACCGCCAACGTTCGATCTGTAGGCTACACAGATTTGTTTGTACTTAACAAAAACGACTTATGGAATGCTCTTAGGGAGTACCCTGATGCCAGAAAACTATTACTTGCGAAGGTGAGCTGAACGCTGTTTAATACTGCCGGACTATCGGCATTCCATATCCGCAGCAAAACATTCCAGGGGAGAGAGCTGCTGAAAAAGGACAATCTATTGGATGAAAATGCCCCTGAAGAGCAACAAACCGTTGAAGAGTTAGCTGAGCTGCTCAACAATTCGGTGAAAGTTCTGCAGACAAGGTATGTCTATTTGCCCTGACAATGGAAGGAATCGTAGCCGCTTCTCAAACTGCAGGTGGCCTTAAGCTCAATTCCATCTAAGGGATGGTGCTAGTGGTAAAATACCTCCACTTTCTGTTATTCACCAGTATGAACTGTGTCAGATATCAGAATAGAGAGACACGACCATTTTTTACGCTTCGGGCGAACTACGTCTACCAGTTTCTGCACTTGAGAATAGTGGAGTTAAGTGACCACGTGTGGCAGACCAGAAAGTTCAAAAGACAGTGGACACGCGACAATTTTACTAAGAATGTATTAAAATCTGCGCACTGTGAGTGAAAACAACGGTTCCCTAAGCGCGCACTTTGTGGCGCAAATTGCGAAGAAGGGAGTGCCGAGGTGACTTAACGAATCTGGTGTTGTAAAACAGGGTGAAGCGTGAAGCACTTCCAGGTAGATGCGACCTGCTAGGAAGGAGTGTACATGAGACCGCTCCCCTACTGACCGAGATAAGTCGTCCTATTTATACGACTGCGCAGCGTGTTATGGAGCGGTACAGCTGGATTAAATTGGACCAATTAGACTTCACGAAAAGTGTACGGCTCCATCAGTAGGCGACGTGTTTCAGAACGTAGTCGCTTGAGAAGATTTCCCAAGGAGCACTGAACAAAAAAGTAACGCCATTTTTAGGATGGCACGTTTAATAGCAGAGCACACGAGTACCGAAACAAAACTCAACGCTCGAATCGAATTTCTGGAGAAGCAGCTGCACAGGTAGGGTCACTTTTTCTTTGTCAATTATTACTCTCTATTTTATCTTTGTATAGGTATAAGACGATGGTAAGGAAACAGAAAAGTCTTCAAGTGCAATCAATGAGTCAGGACGATGGTTGACGCAACTCTGGATCTCTTCCTGTCAACTACCGAATACGAGAAACTGATTATGACGGGTGCAAGAGTGCGCGACGCTAGGGCAAGGCCACAAACAGTGTTTCCTCCCCATTTCAATACCCTCCCCGACCAGCCATCACCTATAGTTATTTTATTATTATTATTATTTCATTCTGATTGGCTAGAATCCAGGAGTTATCGTCCGGAGCTTCCTATATCCCATTGCGTCAGACGTACGGTGTTTATCACTATGTTCTACCGCTTTGAGTGGCTCGTTTCATTCTAGCACTGGGACCTCTTGATACACGTCCCATATGAGCGGAGTCCCTTGCTCACTTGGTAACGTTTATCAGCGCATAGGAGCGCTCCATCATTTTCGGGGATGAGATTTGCCTTTTCACCTTAGAATGGTTTTCTTGTGTTTTTTTCGTATCTCAAATGATTTGTGTTCTTCGAACCTTTCACCGACCAATCTTTCAAACGGGTTCCCAAGATGACATGGCTAAGGAATAGTATATAGACAATTTGTCTTCCTGATATGGTGCTTCATACGATCTTCTTATCATTTATCGTTGTCGGTAGCTTGCAAGTACATTCGAGGTGATTCCAGTAGAACCACTTATCCTTTAGGTGTTTCATGTTCACTTGTCTTGGATG